ATTAAAATCTAATAAGTTACTTTGATATTTTTTTAAAATAAATTGTTTATTTCTTTTATTTTTATGTTTAAAGCTTGATAAGTTCTTTTAAAGCATAAGAAATGACGTGAAGATATACTTTTAAATCACTTGAATAATAAATTAGGATATATTTTTTTTTGAGGTTAAATCATGTTTTTTTAATAATTTTTTCTACTTTTCATTAATTTACATAAACTAAATTTTTAAAAGTAAAAAATATTATTTTAATATATTTTAAAATAAAAAATAATTTAAAAATAACTACTATTTATTTGGTATTACGTTCTAACTAGGAGTTGAGCAAAAAAAATTACTTAAAATTAATTTTTTATATTTATAAATAAAATAATGGGAAAAATATTTTTTAAAAAACAAAATATTATTTTAATATATTTTAAAATAAAAATTAATTTATAAAATAACCACTACCAGGTAAACCTTCACAATAGACAACACGCTCCTGGCTAGAACCTATACGGGAAGCGGTTGGAAAATATTAAAACAAAGGGAAGAAGATGCTTTTATTAATGCGGGTGGCTTTAGGTAGCGTAACGGCTCAATCTTACGGTTCCACGTTAAAGTCAAAGTGACGTAAGGGCCATTTACTTGAGTACCATCACCACACCCATCCCCATGTGAGTGAGTGGCCACCTCTCCAGCAGTTATCCAGTATTTCCGAATTACCGTATTGCTTCCAATCACTTCCATTTATGTGCGCATTTACAGCCTTCACGCGCTGCCTGGCCTCGTGAAATCCAATCTCCCCCAATTCCACCCCCCTTGGATCTGTCTGTTTATTTGTTTGCTGTTCCCTTTCCTGTCTCATGTTTAAATGCATATTATTTGTTTTTTAAGATAATTTTTAAATATTAAATTGAAAAGAAAAATCTCGCCCGCTGTTACCTCTCTCGTTGACATGAAATCATAAAACGTGAGAAATGATAGCTACAGTTGTGAGGGTGCAATTGATACAATCATATGTGAAAGGGACGTGAATGGCAGGAATTTTTACAAGGTGTTGGCTGCAAGTGACTGCCTCGCTGGGTAGGATATTATAAAATAACACTTCCATTTTGGTACGCGACAAAAATAAATTGCCATTAAATTAATTTAAACTACGGAAGTTACTGTAACTCTAGGGGGGAATAATGTGCTGGATACAGGGGACACAGTAACTTTCCTATAGTTTTGTTTTCGGGACGTGGAATAGTGTTTTGAGTATAGAGGAACAGTAATTTCCTTACTTGTTTACTTTTACAGTTTTACTATTCACTAGAGTAGCCTTACGATGAAGTTGTACTTTAACCATAAAAACTTCAATTGTTATTTTTAAACTGTATGGGATAGAATAATTTATTTACTTTTTTTCACAGTAAAATAAGTTGCCTATCGCTGAGATAAAAGGAATAAAATTCACAATCAAAGGCTTTATAGTCTTTTCAATTTTTTTATATCATTATAATTATTTAATTACCCTTTAAATAAAAATCTACCTTGCCGGGGTTTTTTTATCTTTTTAATTATAGCTTTTCAGTTAATATCAGGTAGATCCGGAGAAATTTTTATATTTGACTAAACATTAAGTATTGTAAAAAAGAAATCATGCTGATAATTTTAAAATATACTCCTTGATTTTTAGGTTTTTCACTTAAAAATTTTAAAATAACCTTTCAATTTATTATTCATAATTATTATTTATTTTATTTAGAATAATTTATAAAATAGCTTTTTAGTTAATATCAATTCATTTTAAAAAAAATTCTCATCATTTCATACATATTTAAATATTATTTTTAAGATTATTTTTTAAGATTTAATATTTGTTGTATTACATCTATTGAGTTTTTTTTTTCAAATTGAGATTTATAATTTTTTTAGTTTAGTTTTTATCGAGTTATTTCATACATATAATTCAAATCATAGAATTTGGCTAATTTATCTAATTTTTTAGTTGTTTATTTGGTTTTTTAATTAATTTTTTAATTTAATTCCTTTAAACTTGTTTAAAATTGAAATTTTTTATCTGTTTCATGTTAACTTATCTTTATATTATTACCTGACTTGCATATTTAATATATTTATTTAGATTTATTTAGTTTTTTTGTTTTTTTTTGGTGTTTTTATTTGATTGGCTAGAATCCTAACTCCATCATCTTATTTATTTTAATAATGGTTTTTGGGTTTTTGCATGTTATAATGATTTATTTTTTTGTTTATATTGATATATTAACTATCGTTATCTTTTTTTTCAATCATGTAATTATTCCAAGTCACTTTTTTTTTTATTTTTAAAAAATATATTTGCAACACTCAAGTATATTTTTAAAAAATGTTCTATCTGCGGGGTACCACAGCCCACAGATCTAGTTGCCTCTAATAACCATGGTTGATTTAATGTTGCATTTGGTCCCTCTACTCTCAATCATATCACGGTTTGCCCCCCCTGTTGTAATGTAGTCCTACTGCTCTTTGTTCTGCAAATGTTTTCTTTCCATCCAGTGACGCTGCTGTTAAATGCCGCCGTTAGCCAATAGATGATGATGTCACTCAGTATCAATTTTCGAAGGGCATATGGCAATGGATGGTGGGATTTAACATTGTCATAGGCAAAAGTGCCAAATGTTCACAATATAAAGGGCAGATGGGAGATGATATTTAGATAAAAGAAAGTAAGAGGACCAAAACAATACAATACCGAGACTTCTAAAGGACTTTAAAATAAACCATTAAACCTTTCCGTTTCTTCCTTTTCCATACAAAGTGTTCATGTTCCATGCATCCAATCATGTCTACTCATCTCACAATTCTTCATCTGCATCTTTAACTATTAAAATATAATTATAACTCAACTAGTTAAATTTTAAATTTATTTTTTAAAAATTATTAATTTAAATTCTATAAATTTTAAAATATTTAAAATTTATATAATTGTTAATTTTAAGATTTATGGAATTAATTAAAAAACACACAAACTAACCTAAACACTAAAGTTAAAAAAAAATATAAAAAAAAATTCACATGCATTAGATAAATGTGAGAGAGAAGGAGTGCTGAAAATGGAGGAGTTAAAATGGATTTGAAATTAACTGAAATCATGGCTGCAAATCGAGGGAAGATTTGTTGGTAAAAATGGGGAAGATTGTCTCCCGTTTTTCTTTACTATAATAAATAAAGTGAAAAAACATGAGCAAATGCAAGTAGCAGAAGGAGCAGCAAGAGAGAGAGAAAGAAGCTACCTTGGGTAGCAGCTGTGGCCGCAGTGTGAGAGAGATCCGAGGCAATTCACTTGACAGTAGAGTTGAGGGTGTTCCTCCTCCTCTACTCTACCACTGTAGATCTGTGTTTTTCTCTCTAAATAATAGTATTGGCTGCTCCCTGAATACATGTAAAATTTCGAACCGTGTTAAATGTTAAATTTTAAATATATTATGTTATGTTTCTGGACAAAGATTGAATCTTTATTATGAGTGCTATTAATTTTTAGGTAATTTTATCTTACCCTCTGAGGCTTATGAGTTCTATCGATTTTTTATTTAAATATCTATTCTTATTCCCTAATTTATTTAATTTCACGTGATTTGTTGAAAGATATACATGTGAAGATTTATTTTGAAATAAAAAAGAGTAAAAAACAAAATTCACTCACGTTTTTAAGACTTTTGACAGTTAATTAAAACCATTAAATGCCCCAACTGTACTTAAGATTTAATAAATACATTGTTTGGATAGTCAATTCATAATAATGTAAGAAATTAGCACGCTAAATAAGATTATTTTATTTTATTTTAATTATCATTTTTCTTTTTTCTTCATTCTATAATATTGGTATATATTAAGTTCTTCTACTCTCGCATCTTGCTGCCTTTATGGCGGCTTGGTGCTATCAATTTACTTGGGTTATCAAATAAGAAAGAACATGTTCAACTTTTTTTTTTCTAGAATAAAATTAAATAAGATATATGTACATATTTTTTAATAGCTTAACTTAAAGTAAATTTTGTATTTTTGGTTTTTTATGATTTTATTTATTATATCAATATATTAATTAAATATTTTAGTAACATTGGCTCTGGTGTTTCTAATTTTGAATAAATCTCACATTATTAGTTGCTATTGTTTTACGTGAGGTTCTTCAAATTAAATTATTGTATGTATCCTAAAATAATAACGTGAAAAAGTATTTTAAAAACTTAATTGATAAATTGTCTATAATTTTTAGGCTAAATCAAAGAAAACAAAGTGATAATAATAATTAAAAAAAAAAGAGAGGAGGTTTCGGCTCAATTGAGCTCGGCCTAACCAAGCCTTGCAGGGATCATTTTCGTCTAACTCATCATCTTTTATTTTTATTACTCATTGTTTATTTTTCCCAGCTACGAGCTGTACAAGTTGCAATCTCATCTACACTTCAGCTATAATTGTCATATTTGCTGAGTTATTTGTGACATAAACAAGCTATTGCAGGGTAAGCTAGAATATACAGGTGCAAGTTCTATAAATACAGCAATGGGTCAGGCAAGGTTCTTTTCTTCATGTATAAAATAGTGCCTCCACGTACGCCCCCAGTAGCTACAGATGTGATGTAAATACTAGTTTTTGTAGTTAGGACCAGAATCTTTACATCTTTACATGTAAAATAAATAAAAAAATAAATTATTTTAATTTAAAAAAACTAAAAACTAAAATATAAAATCCCAGATAATTTTTTTTTCTTTCTAATCAAGGTAAAAAACAGAGGGTACTTTAGCCTACAGTGATGAACACGCACTCATAATATAACTTGTAAGGAAGCAGTCGTACAAGTAATAAGGCAGTATTGGCGCGTGGGCTTGGAAAGTAAGAAAAAAGCATTGATCCCGAAAGAAAGAAGGAAAGCAAAATACTTTGTAATTTGCAGTTGCAAACACAGTACTATGTGATGTAAGCAACCCCACCTCCTCCCCTCCTCTTTCCTGCCCTTTCATTTATAAATATAAACACTCCTCCCTCTGCAAGCTCCCACTTGCTCCCCCCGTTGACATCAACTCGCACCTACTACTCTCTTCCTTCCTCCACAACACCAACACTTCATTTCTCTCTCAATTCCAGTCCTGGCGATGCAACGACTACGTCGACGTTGCTCCAACGACGTCGTTCGTCTCGACCTCACTACCCCACCAAACTCCTCCTCTTTATCCATCGACGATGCAGAATCCGCTGAGACAAGAATCCAACGACTTATAACAGAGCACCCTGTTATCATTTTCTCTCGATCTTCTTGTTGCATGTGTCATGTCATGAAGAAACTCCTTGCCACTATTGGTGTTCACCCCACTGTCATCGAATTAGACGACCACGAGATCTCCGCCCTCCCTCCCGCTGCTGAAGACGGTTCCTCCCCCTCCTCTCTTGCCCCAGCTGTCTTCATCGGCGGCACCTGTGTTGGTGGTCTCGAGTCTCTTGTTGCTCTTCACCTTAGTGGACATCTTGTGCCTAAGCTTGTTGAAGTTGGTGTCCTGGCTCTCTCTCCTGGGTATGATAATAATAATAATCCTATCATATCCTCGTAATAACAACAACCACAACAACATATTATTATTATTATTAAAAAAGGAGTAATGAAATTATGATTTTAGATTTGGGCTCTTAATCTACTGTTATTAATGTAAGTGAACATAAATGATTACTAGCGAGAAATAATTAATTTCTCTGTTTATTTAAGGTTTTCCGCTACAATATTATAGCAGCAGTAGCAGCAGTACCAGGAGAAATCAAGAAAATCTGCTTTCAGTTTAAGATTATGTTTTTGTCTTAAATTGGATTTAGATTAAGTAAGTACTTTGTCTGATTAAATATTGTTGGGTTGTCGATCAAGTCAGTTCTAGTGAGAACAAGTAATGTGTAATATTTGATTTATGAAAGCAGTACTTGCAGGTTTTCAAGATTTCATTGAGCATTCTCCTTCCTTCTTTCTTTCTTTCTCCGTGAGTTGATTATATACTACCCTACTATAGCTAAAGAACAATCAATCATGCATACAATGCGCGGGACCCATTTCCAATAATTGAAAAATCAGAGCCGTTCGATTTTCTTGGTTTTGGTTTGGTTAATGTGATCATCTTTGGGGGGTTAAGGAGAGGTGGGTTTGGGAGTATTACTTTGTGAAAATGACATGAGAGTGGAGATTAGAGGAGTGGGTTTCTGTCAGATATTCTGACAAAATTCTTTCAATTATTATGTATCTTCCAAAATCATGCAAGCCCTAGTAATTCTTCTGATTTATAATTTGCGGTCTGGACCAACCCCATTTGAGACTCGAATAACAGGTAGGAACAACTCATCTTCACTTCAAAATGTTGCGAAAACCACGAATGGAAAAAAGATTCCAGGTTGTGAAAAGAGAGAGCACTAATGGTGGAAACTAGTACTTCTTCTGATCTTTCCCCTTTTCCCACTCTTTCTTACCTGGAAATCGAAAGAGAATAATGGGAAAAAGTGGTGCTTGGTCATGGCTTAGCTAGGCTACCATGACCAAAAAGACTGGTAGAACTTACCTCCTAGATTCAAATACATGCCTTACAGTTCATCACATTACTCATATATTAATTTGGGCCAACAAGTTGTTGTATTTGTATGGATGATCCCCATGTAGATTTATTTCCTTCATTTGCAGTGGAAAACAAAACGAAGGTATAATTTTAATCTGTTAGCATCTACTAGTATATAGATTAATGAGGTTTTTTCTGGTGTTAATTTGAGATGACTTGATCATGGTGATCTGTTCTTGAAGAGCTAAAAACTTAGCTGTGACTGAACTGGACAAAAGACAAAACACGATATACATGGATCGACCTGATTAATTTGTTTAGATGGTAGGTATATAGTATATTTTCGTGAATCTGACGAAGAAGGTTCCCCTAAAAATTAAAGATTTAAAACCAAATTAAGGGGTGATGCCAAATTTGTCACCACTCCACGAGACAGCCTGCAAGGGGGCGGTGTCACCACCCATGACATCGATAAATCTTCAACCACCTGCCAGCCTGATATTACTCGCCATCGATCCTGCTCTTTCCACACGCCCATCCTTGCCCCCATCACACACACGGATGCACAAGATTCTTAGCATTAATCTTCCCACTTGGAAGCTTAATTAACTAATATATGTGCGGGTGTACTTGTGAGAAATCAATTGCTAACATCACTCATCTTGGCCCATGATCACCATGGCCATCATGCGTCTAGCACCTTGTAAAGATCCTCCCGAATCCATGTGCTTGCCCCTGATCGTATCTATAATTAAACAAGATGGGCTATAAAAACGTTCTTGTTGCGAAAAGATTTCATTTTTCTTAGTGTTCGAGCTGAGAGACCATAATTTAGCCATGTTAACTACTTGAGAAAGATAACTACTGACAAAGATAAGGAAATTAATGAAAGGCAACCCTAGAGATATCTTCCCTTACCTTACTTGAAGAGACTGTGCCCTTCACTTAGCTAGGCTGATTATAAATTTGTTGGCCAATTCCAGGTCGAGGTTAATTAAAAAACTTGAGAAAAGGAATACATAAGGTACTTCATAGATCTTTTCCCATTTAGGAAAAGAAGACGGGGTGTGGAGGGTGATAAATTATGGTAAGAAAAGGCTTAACCCTAACATAAGGCAATTGGGACCCATTTCCTCTGGGCTTGGAAAAGACAGCTACAGCCTACAGGCTAGGTGATGATGACGATAACAACATCAACAAACCACAGCCACAATTACCACCACCCACCATTAGAGTGCTTTCTTCACTTTAATTTTGTTTTTCACCTTCTTTAATAATGAATCACACTTGGCAGACATGCAATGGTGTTGATAGAGCAAGTGACGGACCCAACCCTAGAATCTTTATTCTTTACACTCCAACGTAAGAAAATCAACTTGTGATTCTGTATATTTGAAAAATACTAATAGCAATATCACCAATTTAATAACTCCATAAAAGGTAGTAATTTGTAGGAGAAGTGGTATTTGATGTTTATATATATATATATATATAATGTGAGGACATGGGAATTAAGCAATCCAAGTACTTTCCCCACTGAAAGTTCCTTGATGGTAGGGTTTTTGGGTGGCACTTTGTCTAAAATTAATCAGTCTAAAGCTACAAAAGCATCTTCCCCTTTATTTATTTTTGTCATTTAATTTTAATTTTCATTTTGAATGGTGAAGTCATGGTTGCTTAATAACTCTAGCCTTCTTTATGAGATTCCCACTTTACTTCCACAAATTTTATTCACCCATTTATTAATTATAAATTCACTATAATTTGCTCCTAATTTGGTTTAAATTATTGTTATCAAAACCGGTTTAGAGTTCAGATCACAAGTGGTTCAATCAACTCTTTAATAAATAGAGTAATTCGTATCTATTTCAAGGTTATATCCATTTAAATAAAAAAAATTACTAAAATTTGATTTAATTGTATTAACAGATATGAACTAAATTATTAGATCATCAAATTTAATTATATCAATTTTTTAAACTAATAAAAATAAATTTTCTTTCAACTAAATTTAAAATGAATAAATTATTAAATTGATTTGTTAAACTAAACCCAGACCAAAACCGAGTCATAAAAACAATGGTTTATCCACATCATCATATTTATTATTAGCCCTAAATAGTTCATCTCCAGCATCTCCAGCCTGGTAAACACCTTCCCTAGATATTCCTCGTATAGTTTACTTACAAATCACCAACTGCCATGTAATTGCACAGTTCAGTCATTCTTGCATCACTTCCCAGAGAGAGAAGAAAAGGAAAAAAAACACTCCCATCTCCAAGCAGCTCACAAAAGAGCTTGTGATGTGATGGACATAAATGGCACTGAGACATTTCAGGACAGCATATTCTGATTACAGTTTCTCTTTTTTCCCCTGTCTAATAGAGCCCACTACTCCACTATTATACAGTATTTATTATTTTAATAACTTAGCTGTTCGTGTTTTTCTTTTGGGGTCTTATTGCTCTTGATGCTTGATGATGCAATGGAAGAAAAAAATTATGACATTGTTGTTTATTTTTTGTGGTCAATTAAACTGAAACCAAGCGTAGAGGATTCCAAACACATAGTCGGCAGCACACAGACTGGGAAAGAGAATTGAGGCCATAGAAGCCCAAGATTCGATTCCTATGATTGATCAAGAACCAATATATGCTTGCTAAGAGGATCTTTGAATTTGTTCCCACTGTAGCTCTTGTAACATAGAATTTGACTTCCGCTGATGACTAATCATTCCAAACAAGAACGTTATGAAGACTATATATATTTGTATTTGGGAATCTGCAGCCACTGATAGAGACCGAGGAAATTGAAGAAGAACCAAGCTCCATTTGTTGACAGGGAGAGCTTACTACTTGCTGCCTTCCCTTGTCACTCCAGCTTCCAACAATCTTCACCTCACATTTTAACGTATGGCCATTTTCATGTGTCACCTCACCAGCCAAATTTTACTGCTGCTGATGATAGTCATGGCCTAAGCATTCAACATTCCTTGAAATTCATCCATGTGCATCCTGGTTCATGTATGATTCATCATAATTATTAAATTTAGACTGGTTTAATGGATACATCAGAATCAAATATAAAAAATAAAATAAGTAAAAACTTAGTAAAATCCGCGGGATTAACCTATTATTTGAGTGATCCAATAAAACCTGATTGAGACTTTTATTTTTTAAAATATATTTTTTCTTTTAATGTGAGATTTGAAATCTTTTAGTAAATATAATTTATGTTCACAATAAAAAAAATTTTATTTTTCAATATGAAATAAAAATTATTTTGATTTGAATACTTCAATTCAATTTAAAAGAATAACATAATATCTTTTCATTCAATGTGGGATAAAAAAAACCTTTTGAAATAATCTCTTCATTATTTATAATATGTATAGCCTATATTCATATGAATTTTTTTTTAATTTTTTTCATATGATATATTAAAACTTTAATTTTTTTAAAAAATTTCCAAGTTGATTCGGATTAACCCGAGTTAACCCACACATGTAACCTGGAATCTAACTTCTTAACTGTGTCAACCTCTTAGTCAGGTTTAATAACTATATGATCCACACTTAGTAAGATTAGTTAGACATCCATTTTTCACTTTTCATTTTCTCATTTAAAAATCATATTTTAAATTAGAAACAACTGTTTTTTTATCTTTAAAAACATAAAAAGATTAACAATCAACTGTCATGAATATTCAAAATCAAACAAGTGATTTTATAAAATCATAACAATGATAGTATATTTTCTTTCAGTAAAAATATTTAAAAAAATAATTTTTTTAATTTTTGATTCTGTAATTAGAAAACATAAATAGAAACCTCTTTGGTTGTTTTTGTTTTAAAAAATCAATTTGTTAGCCGTCAATAATTATAACTATAACGTAACATATACTAAACACCTAGGACAATTATGGTAGCAATTTTTTTACTCAAAGTTTTTTAGTTGCATTTTTCTAGGTATAAATTAATGAACTATTTATAAAATTCTATTAAGGATTGGAAAATTTCAATGATAGGGGACCAAATTTAACAACATAGAGAAATATAATGACCACTATAATATTATGAAGAAAAAATCATTGCAGTCCAAAAGATTACTTTCTTATTTTACTATCTTTTTAAAGTTATTTTTATGTACTTTTCTAGCCTAATGGCATGAAATGATTCTTGAAATTATAATAAAAGGATCAAATTAAAAGGTTTGAGAACCAACAAGTAAAAGGAGGAAAAAATTGATGGCTACCCATATGTGCTGCACCAAAATTTATTTTGATCCTTAAGTACTTTTATTTTAAAAAAATAATTTTGGTTTTTGGATGAGAATTAAAAAAAGACCCGTTTAAAAATTACATTAGAGAGAGAAAGTATTTAGTCGTTACGATTTCGATAAC